CACAGGAAGTCAAATATCCTTCTTGTTTTGGATCCAATGGACGAGGAATAGAACCATAAACATATGCCCATTTTTTTTGACCGAGAAGAAATTTTTTCATGACACTAGACCGATAAGCATAGTTGTCACTTGTAAGTTTGTGTTTAATAGCCCAAATTTTGTCTTCCAACATTGTAATGAACTAGAAAGAAAAGATAAGGGAACTAATGGGCAAAGTAATAACCTAATAAATCTGAGGGGTTAAGCTATAATAACCTAAAGCTAGCACAGATTGGTCAAATACTGGTGGACTGAGATCATCTACAACACAAAGAGAGAGAGTGCTTCATAATCAGAGAACAGAAAACAAAGACTAAAGATGAAGAGCTTCGATCGACACAACCAGAGAGAGAACCAGAAATCGAGCGAGGATCCAAAGCAAGGCAGAGGTCACGAGAGAGAGAGAGAGAGAGAGAGAGAGAGAGAGAGAGAGATCCCTCAAACCCAAACCAGAGTCGCGACTTCAGACCAGGCACCAGAAGTCTGTCGCGACAACTTCGGAGAAGACCAGAGAAGTCAGTCACGACTTCCGAGAAGAACAGAGAAGCCTGTCACGACTTCGGAGAAGCCCAAAGAGGCCTTCATGACTTCGGAGAAGACCAGAGAAGACTTTGAACAACAAGCGTGAACGAAGAGAGAGAACTTCGAATGATCAAGGCCAGATCTAGGGTTTCGAACATGGTTCTGATACCATGTAAGTTTTCTGAATATTCAATTATATCGTAATACAAATGACACATCTAATTATATAATACTCCTAACCCTAAGACTAAAAACGAAATGAAAATATTCACCCAATCTATCACAATCTCTCAGAATATATACACAATACACTATCATATATATATATACACAATATTCTCACCACATTAGCCAACCTCCTAGGTCCACTTGGTCCTACTTAAAAATATGTCCCTCCAATCATGGATGGATCTAAGGGGTGGTCGCGGCCCCAAAAATTCCAAAACAAGATAATTATAAAATTAGAGTAGTTCACACCCTCAAAATTAGAGTATAAAATTACTTGAATTTTATCAAATATTTGTCTCTTGTGTTTGCTACTACGTGTTTCATTATATATATTTGTTCTTGTTTCCTACTATTCTTATTTTATGACCATGTGTCATTGATGTTTTTCCATCACACTTTAATTTGTTTGTCTGTTTTTTTGGCTTCCATTCTTGTTTGTTCATCATATGGAAACGAGAATTTTTTATGCGCTTAACATTCCCAAAATTGCGAGCATGAAATTTGATATTGCTTATTGAAACAAATTAGCCTCTTATTCATCAATTGATTAATCTTGTGTTAATTTTACATGTTTCAATTATGCATATGAATGCGCATTTTCAACTATGAAACTTGTTAGACTAAACTACATAGAAGATGATTTTCTAGCAAGTTACTTGATCACATTTATTGAGAAACATTGTTTGAGGTTTTGATTCAAGCCTATCATTAATGTTTTTTATATCATAAACAAGTGTCAAGCACAATCTTTTCAAATGACTTAACTTTAGTAGATGAATACATATAGTAATAGTTACTATTTTTTGTAAGTTAATGCTGACAAAGAATTTGTTCAACTATATGATCATATTTTTATACTCAACTATGTTTACAAAGAATGTCTAGTTGATAGAAATGTTATTTACTTTTTTGTGTTGATAGAAATCAATATTGTATTTTGTAACTTTGTAATTACGATATTTTTTTCCAATTAGGATTTGCATGTGTTTTAGCGCCCCAATATTAGAATCCTAGATCCGTCCCTGCTTAGAGTTACCTAATAAGGCATTGCAAACTAAATAGGAAGTAATATGTTATGTATTTATCTCTTAAAGTGTTTTATGCAATATGGAAATTTAAATAATTGTAGGAATTTGTTAATTTAGACAAGTGATGTTAAAACATTATATAATTTTATTTAAATTTTATGATAAAGCCTATTAATAACTAAAAGAATTTTCGTTAAATATAGGAGAACTTCTTTTATAATTACAAATTTTAATTTCATAAACTTTTTTTAATATGTTTGTTTCAAAATTAGTTAGAATATTTTTTTATTTTTTTAATAATGTGGGTGGTTAGTGTGAGTTGGATGGTTGAGAGAAAAGTATTCATACCAAGTGAGTTGTGTGCTTTATATAATAGTATAGATATTTATCCATATTTCTATATGTGAATATATGTTTTATATACATGTTACAATTTGTTTGACACTTGACATTTAATGAGGATTTTTCGAACTCTATTTATTTTTGAGTGATAGAATGGTTAATTACTTGGTGGTTAATTACTTGGTTAGAGAGTCCATCGTACCTTAGTTTGGGATAGCTCTTTAAACATAGGATCTTGTTAATGTGTGCCCTAAGGGCACATGTTAAGACAGCTTAAAAATGTTGTACATTCATAAGTGTACAACCTTTCACATTGACAAAATCCTTAAAACATATGCCAAGCCTAGCTCAACTGTATATAGAATTTACTTGGTGGATCAAATTTTTTTTGCAATTGGCTAGGATTGGTTATTGTAACTTAATATGTAATGACCTTGCCGTGCAGCGGAAGTTTACGTAGGTGATCTTGGGTATATTAGTACAAACAATGAACCCAAATGACATTACTTGGCTAATCCTTCTTGGCGAGACCGTGTGGGCTCGGGGACCATGTCTGAAAGTCCAGCGAATATTGCCCTGTGTGCGGGTGACGTTGGCCACTAGGGAATAGCGTTCGTGTTGGTAATTCTAGTGCTCAACCTCCTTGTGAGAGGGTATAAAGGTGAAGAGTTTGTAACGTGTTTGCCCCACATCGGAAGTTTACACAAGTGATATTGGGCATATAAGCGGAACAAAGAATTCAGATGACCTCTCCTTTCCTAGGCCTTTTGGGTGAGTTCCTGTGGTTGTTACTTATGATGTCAGATCTGACCTGTGTGCGCACGACCTTGTTTGAAAGTCTAGGGAATATTCCTGTGTGTGGGTGACTCTAGGCACTAGGGAATAGCCTGTGGGTGGGTGGCTCTAGTTAGTAACAATCCTTTCTCACACCGGAAGTTTGGATAAGTGATCTTGGGTACGTAAGTAGGTGCAATGAACCCAGATGATCTCTCCTTGGCTAGCTCTTTTGGGTGAGTTCATATTGTCATTAACATGTGTGCGAGTTCTTTTGCATCACTCCTAATATCCAATGGTGTGGATTTTCTTTGAAGGAAATTAATTTGCTCATGACTGTTCAGTTTAGGAATTTAAATGTGTCGAAAAGATGATCTCATGATGAAAACAAAACACATGGTGTCTGGTGACAGCCATTAGCAGACATTTTACTCGATTTTTCTTTCGAGAAAAGAAAATGTTTCCTGTTCCTTGTTCCCTATTAGTGGTCCAAGGGAAGGTTGGTCAATGATCTTTGGTAGCCTGCAATTTAGAGTAATGGACTAGTGTGTGGTTGAAGTCTCTCCTTTCCTAGGCCTTTTGGGTGAGTTCCTGTGGTTGTTACTTATGATGTCAGATCTGACCTGTGTGCGCACGACCTTGTTTGAAAGTCTAGGGAATATTCCTGTGTGTGGGTGACTCTAGGCACTAGGGAATAGCCTGTGGGTGGGTGGCTCTAGTTAGTAACAATCCTTTCTCACACCGGAAGTTTGGATAAGTGATCTTGGGTACGTAAGTAGGTGCAATGAACCCAGATGATCTCTCCTTGGCTAACTCTTTCGGGTGAGTTCACATTGTCATTAACATGTGTGCGAGTTCTTTTGCATCACTCCTAATATCCAATGGTGTGGATTTTCTTTGAAGGAAATTAATTTGCTCATGACTGTTCAGTTTAGGAATTTAAGTGTGTCGAAAAGATGATCTCATGATGAAAACAAAACACATGGTGTCTGGTGACAGCCATTAGCAGACATTTTACTCGATTTTTCTTTCGAGAAGAAAAAATGTTTCCTGTTCCTTGTTCCCTATTAGTGGTCCAAGGGAAGGTTGGTCAATGATCTTTGGTAGCCTGCAATTTAGAGTAATGGACTAGTGTGTGGTTGAAGTCATTTTGACATTAATCGACAGTATCAAATTCCCTTGGAACAATTACTTGGATGCATAATATACAGACGAATCCCAATGGCATATGTTAAATTTGATGTATGGAAAAATAGAGAGAATGAAATATGTATTGATGATTCTGTTAAATTTGATGTATGGAAAAATAGAGAGAATGAAATATGTATTGATGATTGATATATTACAAGATTGATGAATTACAATTCCTATACAATCTATATATAGAAGAAAATGTGGTAGTAGGTGTAGTGGAGGTGATAGTGGGTTAGGTAAAGTGGAGTGTGTGGTGAAGTGGAGGTAGGTGAAGTGGAGTGTGTAGTGGAGTAGGTGAAGGTAAAGATGGGAAATTCTAACAGCATATCATACAATTTCCATCCAATATTTTAGGTATATGATAATTCAAATGAAACTGTAGATTTTTTTTTTTTCCCCTCCTATAAATTTTGAAGAATTCCCTTGTCCAACCCTTGTGTGGAAGATAAGATAAGATACTTTCACTTTGTAAATTATTATTTTTGGGTCAAGTAAGCAAATGGTATAAACAAAAAGGCACCTGTACACAATAGGAGGATGGAAACCATCTAGAGAATTACAAAAGATGGGGCGCCATCCCACCACCCAACTAAACAGAAAAAACATCAACTAAACAACCTACATCTCTACAAGGACCCGTTTTAGACCAAGAGTAATCTAATGGTTAATGGAGCGCCAACATAAGCACAGATTCTGGTTACTAGTACCTGGAACACTTGATGCTATTTTCTAATGTTTGTTTTACTCAAAAGTTGCTTTACTTATGCCGCTCCACTCTTCTCTAGGGCTTATATTTGAAATTGAATTGATTTATATATATATATATATATATTTATACATATTGATGAGCTACTTTTTTTGTTCTGTGAACAGTAAGGCACTGGAGAACGATGCATCCCCGTCCTTAGCCTTGACAGGTTTGACAAGCCAAGAGACTTGAGGAAAGCACTTGATATTTAATATTCTTCTCTTTTGAATGTATTAAATTCCCTCGCTGTGGGGGGTGGGATACTTGGTTTGATCTTATCTTTCTTAGACTTATTTTCTGATTATTTTTTCCTATCTCCAAACAGTTGTGAGCTGTGACTACCTGTGAAATATAATGTTATGGAAACTGTTTGTAAGATTTTGCCTCATTGAATTTTATAGTTGCTGCTTGATAGAGAACAGGTGTAGTCAAGTTCTTTAAATTGTGTGTGATTTACAGAAGCTTTTTTAAAACTTGGTTGCGATGTACATTCTTTTATTGGCAACCTTAACTGACCATACAGCCTATGTTATTACCATTCATTGTTACTATTGTCGGGGCTATTGTTGTATTAGGTTGTACCCTTTTTGATTAGGTTGTACCCAATTTACCACAAACGATTCTTAGATGTTGTGTAATGAACTTAACAATAAGTAAATGATTCAATTGATTTTTATTAGCAGAAGTTGTTGCTTGAAGATGTGGGTGGGTTGGTTGGTTGGTTGTTTGTGTTTTAGGAGGTTGTTGACAGTTGAGCGGGGTCTGCGGATGAAGAATTTAATCTTCTGTATTTGTATTTTCCTCTCAAATCAAAGCATTGATTATGTGTGTTATTTTGGAGTCTTTTGCAGGTTCATGTATAAGCAAAAATTATTATGGAGGGGGAGGAAAGATCTGAAACTGTCTTAAAGTTTGGTTCAAACATGGTTATGGTGGGCAATTGTTTGCACTTTGTAGGAGCTTATATATATATATATATATATTGAACTCATCTCGGCTCAATCAAAAACTCTGAATTGGAACGAACTTTGCTCAAATCAAATCAAATTAAAATCTGGAAATGGAAGAGTTACAAGAAGAGTATGGATTCTTTCGTATGGTGATCTGCCCCAATAAACAAGGAGAAGAAAGTTTTTGAGTTTGAAACAAAATGCCTCCTCGTCTTTTGAATTATGTTAAGTCCTCTATTTTGTTTTAAAATTAGGAAAATGTTATGGACTCCAAATAAATTATCAAATTTTTTATCAAACCTCTCACATGGCTGTGGAATCCACACAAATTAAATGTGTGTGGGTCCTACACTCATGTGAGAGATTTGGTAAAAAATTTGATAATTTGTTTGGGGTCCCTAGCATAACTCTTAAAATTAAGAGATTTGTGTTGAGTTATATTATTACGTGTAAAAATTATGTTTATATTTATTTTTTGAGTAATATTATATAAAATATATATATATACACACACATAATATAGAGAATTGTTAAATTTTTATTATAAATACAATTTTATTTTTATTTTTAATAATATTTAAAATTATACATGAAATAATTCTCAATGTTAAATTTAAAAAATAATAAAATAATAAAATGAAACTAAATATAAATAACTCTTTAAGATACGATTGACTGGTTGGTGTGTGTGTGTGCGCGCGCGTGTGTACTACCTCTTTAAACCAAACGGATAACCAGCCATAAAGAAAAATGAAACAAAAATTTCAGGTTTGTAATACAAAAATGAGGCCATTGCATCATTATCATTATCATTATTATTATTATTAAGAAAAAATCTACAATGCGTACTTTTTAAAAATACATATGATATATACTTATCGTGTGGTTCATATTGTGTCACGTCATAAAAAGTAACATGCTAAACAGGTCATTTAACTGGTTACATAAAAGAATCATAACTTTGTTTAAGGGGTTGTTTGGAATGTTCTAAATAAGTGTATTTTTTTACTTTTTATGAAATATGGATTGAGTTTGAAGTGATGTGGTAGAGAGATGATATGACTTAAATAAGATGATGCGACTTAAATAGGATAGTGACTTTTTGACTTTTTTAAGGGATGCCAAACCTAGCCTAAATATCATAACAATCACTACAATGAATTATAATAATATTATAATATACACTACGATATTATAACAAAGACACTATCAATCATAACATTATGAGAATAACTCATAACAAATGTAATTATTTCCAACAAATTATTGTAACATTTGAATCATAACCATTTTTATTATGATTCACCAAAAGAAATCATAACTTTTGGTGGTACAAATCATAACTTTTACTAATGAATCATAGCCATAACACATTGAGTATAACTTTTTTTCTCACAATCATAACGTCATTAACAAAATATCTTAATTTTTACCAATAAAGCATAACATAGCACGTTGATTGTATTTTTGTACCAAAAATTATAACAACATTAATAAGAGGTAGGGGTGGGCGCAGGTCGGTTGCGGCCACGAAACCTCCAATCCGCCATTCGTCCGCTAGATTGGTGGATTGGAGAAAATCAATCCGCATCCGTCCGCCAATCCGGCGGATGTGGATTGAGCGGATTGGCGGATGGATGCGAATCAGTTTGGCGGTTTAAAATTTTATAAATTTTCAACATAATTCAACTTGTGCACTTCCTAAAAAAAAAAGAGAAAGTATTACAGTTAATGACTTAAAAAAATATTATAATTACTGCATGCCTTATCCAAAGTAAGAAAGTTTGAAATTTTAGAATATCACAATTACTGCATGCCTCATCCACATACTACAATCACAGCATGTCTCATCCATATAAAGTATTACAATCTGTGGTTCTTAAAATATAAAAATAATTCAAACCACCAAAACCATGAATAGAGCAATAGTAGAGATTGTATGTCTCTGTATTGTTACATCTATATCTGTTTTTTAAAACAAAAACAAACCAGCATATATCATATTTTTTATTTATTATTTTTAGAGATAGATTTAAAAACAAAAAAATATAGATAAATAATACGTTTATTTTTTTCAATTCAAAAAAGATATTCAAGTTGAATTTTTTTTTTCAACAGAATATTTATACTCTCTTTTAATTGAAAACAAAAACAGAATATTTAAACAAACTGAAAACACAAAGTCTTATAAATTACTGGGGGTGTTCGCGGTTTGGCGGTTCGGCGGTTCGGTTGCGGCCAAAGGAATTTCAAATCCGTCATCCGTCCGCCAGATTGGCAGATTGGAGAAAATCAATCCGCAACCGTCCGCTCGTCATCACGCATCCATTCAAAATGCGGCGGATCGATTCGGTTCGGTCAATTTTGGCGGATCGGTATATCCGCTACTCACCCCTAATAAGAGGTAGCTACATGAATGTGTACATGAGGCGCACTATTTAATGAGGTGCATGTCTTTTAACAGCTCTCTATTATTAATAAGAGGTAGCTGTATGAACTTCAGAAAGAGGAAGTGGGCAGAAGAGGTGGGGATGAAAGGGACACGTGTTCAGCTGAGAGTATCGGAGGCCTTACATGTTGGCCACGTTGCATGAGACTTGTCCTTTGTTTCCCATCCATCCTCCCTCTTTCCTCCACATCTTTATAAACTCTACTACCAAAGCCCCTCCCCTTTCCACTCCTCGATTTCATTCTGTGATTTTACTACTTTTACTAAGTTGTTTTTTCTTCTGAGAACTCACCCTATTTTTATTATTATTATTATTTGAAGAGGAATAGAAAGAGGAAGATGATGAGGAAACTGTTGTTGTCTTCTTAGATCCAAAAAAAATAATAAAATTGGAACTTAGAGATCATCATCATCATCATCATCTCTTCACCATGAAAATAGGAATGGGAAAGTGAACAGAGTTGTATGGGGATCTTATAGTAAGAAGGGATTTGGTAATTCTGTTATTAGTGGTTGCAGTAGCAGTAGCAATAGTAGGGAGTAGTGGTAACGTAGTGGAGGATGAGTGCGTAAAGGAGGAGAAGGGGAAGGTGATAAAGGACAAGGCAGAAGAGAAGGCTGCAGAGACAGGGAGGGAAGCTAAAGAGGCTTCGGAGTCATGGGCTGAGTGGGCCAAGGAGAAAATCACCGAAGGCCTCGGGTTTAAAGTAACAAAGGAAGCCAAGGATGCTACTGCTACTGCTACTGCTATTGCTATGCACACCAAAGACGAGATTTCTAGTATCTATCTATCTATTACTCATTTTCATTATTTTCCTAATTAATTACCTACTAACTAACCCATAATTATTATCAATCAAATTCAATATTGTTTTGTTTCTAACTAAGAAGGCTAAAAATCTCTGTCAATGTTTCTGCCAAAATTGGACCTAATAAAATGTAAACACAACATCATCAGATTTAAAAAGAGTAGTGAGTGTACTACTGGCAGCTGCTCTCCCTTAACCTCCTCATGGTATTAAAATGTAGGTACATCTGTGTACCAATTATGATCCATGCTCATGTAGTGAAGGAAAGCATCTTAATTCCCGCACCGCATGCTATTTATTTATTTATTTATTTATTCTCATATTCAAATACAAAAATATTGGACGGGGACAGGGGCAGGACAATACAACACAGACAAATCTGGAGAAGTGAAGAATGAGGAAGCAGCTGAAAAGGCTGTGTATGCCAAGGAAACAACATTCCAGAAGGCAGAAGAGGCAAAGCACAAGGCCTAAGAGACAGCGGAGGCAGCATAGGAAAAATCATCTAACAAGATAGGAGGAGAGGCAAAGGACAAGGCCAGACCTATGAGACTGCCCAGGAGTATAAGGAGAAAGTATCCAGAAAGCACAGGTAGCATACCACAAGGCAGACGAAGCGAAAGAGACAGCATCCCAAAAGGCAAAGGAGAAAGCAAAGGAGGGGTTTGAAACTGCAAAAACCAAAGTGGAGGAAACTCTGGAGTCTGCCGAGGAGAGGAGACCATAGCTTCCAACTACCAAACTGCCAACAAGAAATCCAATGACCTCAAGGATAACCTTAACCTTGATGGCGGCAAAGGAGGAGGGGTAGGAGGTAGGAGGACGACCTTGAGATGATGAGCTCTAAGTCCCCGAGTCCGAGAAGGGGGCCTCCTCCACCGTCTCCGCTAGTAGTAATCAAGTGTGGTTTCATTCCCGTAATTAATGCTGGCACTGTGGGCGGGTGGGCTGAGTATGTTTTTCTGTTGAGAAAAGATAGGGATCATGAAAAAACTTTCATAAAAATAATCATGAAAGATTTGACTCTTAGATTACCTTGATTATACCTTGATTAGTGTGTAGTGCTTTATTTTAAGTGTAATCCAAGTGTTAGATTACCTTGATTATATCTTGATTAGTGTGTGATGCTTTATTTTAAGTGTAATCTAAGGGTCATAAATCTTTCATGATCATTTTCATGAAATTTTTTTTATGATACCTATCATTTCTCTTTTCTGTTTCATGTACGGTCGGTGGTGTTATATACTTCACTTTGTGTGTGTGTACGCGCGCGCGCACTTGTATTTGTGTTTGTGTATGTGTATGTGTAGCATTTGGTTTCCGTTTGCTTATTAATTTATGGGGAGATTATATTGTATGTTGTTTTCTTTCTTTTTTTTAATTTTTAACTCTCTTCCTTTTTGTTTTTGAACTGTGTTTGAAGGCATTTGACCCGACAAAGTTGCATCCACCAGCTAGCTAGCGTACTTGCCGTGTTGGATTGGGAACCTAATAATAATAATAATAATAATACAATAACTAGTAAATTGCAAAGCTTAAAAATTAATCAGAATCTGAGGGGGGTCAATTTGAGATTTGAATGCCATCCACTTATCTTGTTAGATGACTTCTGCTTTGAAGTCACATCTTAACATGTTAAAGGGGCGGGTTTTGGGTTTGTCTCTACCTCATCATAATATGGATTAAACGGTAGTCGGATTTCATTTTGTTGATTCACGTTTCACGGTAGTCGGGTTTGGTTTAAAAATAAATAAACAGTCTAATTTTTAAATTATGTTACTGTTTTACTTATATATATATATATATTGAGAGGGTAATTTTTGGAAAAAATTGGGCCGAGCTTCGAGTTGGGTTTTGAGGCCCAAAACGCAGAGGACTAGGTAAAAAGGCCGTACTGAATACTCCGGCCTAGAAGGCAAGGTTACTCCGGCCTTGGGGAGACAAAGTTACTTCGGCCCAAGGAGGTGAGTTTATTCCGGCTCAAGAAAAGATAGTTGCTTCGGCCCAAGGAGGAGTAAAGCTACTCCGGTCCAGAGGCAACTCGGAGTTAGGCCGGTCTCAGAGTTAGTCCGGTCGCAATATGTCCTGGGAAGACCGGCTTCGAAATTAGTCCGGTCGTGACATGCTCTGGTTAGGTCAGTCAGAACTTGCTACTTGGAAGTTTGATCTAAACGCACCAAGGTTGAACAAGGGCAGCCGAAGTAATGAGTTAGAAGAGAAGACCGAGCTAAGGATAGTTCGGCCTTCTATGTGGCTCAGCATAGCCAGTGTTATTTCGGTCATGTGGTAGTTCGGCCATGGAGAAAACCATCCCACTTGGTTTAAGCAGTGGGGGAGGGTGTAAAAGGATAAGCATTATCCTTAGGAGTATGAATCCTAGGAGGACTCTGCATGGAGAAATACAAGTCCTACTAGGATTGTGCCACGGGAAACTTATAAAAGCTCACAAGCATCACCTAGGAGGAGGTAATTGAACACAATCTTTCTGAAAACTTAGAGCCTTGTCTATTTGTCAAGTTTTCTGACTTAGGCATCGGAGAGGTTTCCGGCACACACCCGCCGGCTAGCTCACGTCTATGTTTTCAGGTGACAAAGCGACGTCGTACGGAGGAGCGTGGACTTGGTCAACAGGATTATACGAGGAGAATTATTTCCTCCCCGTACATATATAATGAAATTACATGATTACGATTATTAAATTAATTTATTTTTTGATGAATATAGGTAAGACACTGTAAAATAAAATTATAATTACTTCTCTTTTTCTTTTCCAGGGGCTTTAAATAATGAGAATAGCTTCCCTCCAGTAGAGAGTACTGTTGAGTCCGTGGAGGTCTGTCACGGGTCTCGATAATCTGAACCGTAAATGTGTAGAACTCGTCGAGTACTATATACTTATGAAAAATTACATTGATCAGATATCGATAATTAAGTGATCGAATCAATTTTGTATGAAAAAAATGAACGGTGAAAAATAAACAGCTGACAAAAATCTGTTTTGATTACATAGTTATCACTGTCCGATTAACGTGATTTGTTTACAGTTATATAGCACTCGACGAGTTCTACATATTAAACGATTCAGATTATCAAAATAAAACCTATAATGAGCCTCCACAGGTCTAACAATACCCTCCAATCTGATGAAAGACGGGAGGAAAGTCATTTCCTTAAATAAATTTGAAGGCTTAGCAATCCCAAACAACTAGATAGATCATCATTTAATTTGATTTGGGCTGTTATAATATTTGGAGGGAGTCCATGACTGTGTGGACTAGCAATGGGCCATCCGCTGTAGAAAATGTTTTCTTGCACTATTCAAAGTGTTTAGAATTGTCTGAATTTAGCTGCTGATGTGGTGTCCCATTCCATGTTTTCCACTTCATAATTTCGGGTCCCGGCCCATTATGAGTATACCATTTTGATTTTACTACTAAGGCTGTGTTTGATTGGAGGCATTTGAGAAGAGATTTAAAAAAAAAAAAGAGAAAAAATAAGTAAAATATGAATAAAATATATTTATATTTTACTTAATTTCACATATATTTTCTCTTTCACTTTCCAAATCCCTCCTCAAATCTTCCAACCAAATACAGTCTAAGTACACAATTCAATTCAGAAATGTTGTGGCTTTTTTTTTCCCTTTCTTCTCAACGTCCATAAATAATTACTAAATGGAAACTTTCATTCTAAAATAAAACACTTATGAAAATAAGTTTATTTACAAGAACGATATTAACATATCATTTTTGTAGAATTTTTTGCATGCATGAATAGAATTTTCCTAGAATAATTGCTAAATAGTTTTCAAATTCATCTCATTTTATTCAACTTAAAAGCTTCCAAAAGTTTGGATACCTTTGCACTCATTACTATTATATATACATATATATATCTTTCATGAGAGAATTTAAAAGGCCTATTTTAATGATTTAAGCCGTTCATTTTGTGAGTTCTCAGTATATATTATCTATGAAAAAAAGTTATGTAACTAATAATGCTACGAATATATTTGTTGGAGATCACCCTGTGTGAGGGGTGATCATTTCTCATATGTTGTAACATATTGAAGAATGAGCTGGCCATGTGGAAGGAGGAGTTGGCCATGTGTTGTGCCAGCCAACCTCTCTACATTCTCTTCAGTGTATAAATGAGGCTGAAGGGAGAGTTTAACATGGTGAGTAACCAAGGCAAAATAGAGAGATGTGAGGCAAAGAGACCGTTTCTCTCGGTGTGAGATAGGGAGATGGGTGAGTGGGTGAGTGAGGTTGGTGTGAGCTCTTCCTCTATTATAATCTTTTTGTAATATCTTATTTATTATGGTGATAACCGGTTACTTTCCGGTGAACGTAGGCATTGTGGCCGAACCACGTTAAATATGGTGTCTCTTTGAGTGTGGATGTGGGTGTATTTTTCTGCTTAGTATAATTTCTGGGAGGTCTTGAGCGGGATCTCCGATCCCCAACAATATTAAGCGTAATGTTATACAAACTATTTTACTTGATATTGTGGAATTTTTATTTTATATCATTGAAGTGGGTTTCGTTCTTAATTTTCAAAATTATAATATTACATGGTACATGAATTAATACTTTTTTTTAATAGAATTTGTTAATTTGTGTAAGAATTTTCATATGTTCGTGGGGGTAGTTGTCAGGTGTAAGTAGGCTTTTGAATTACCGAAATCCTATTTGGTAAATAAATAATACTTAATAATAAGAAATAAGAAATAAAATAAATGTTGTAGAATGGTGAGATGGCCTTAGTTTTTTTTAGATGGTATGTCATAATTTTAAAAATTTTAAATGTTTATCCTTTGCAGTATTGACGTAAACTCACATTGTCACTAATTCTATAAAGCATTAATAATTAATTAATTAAGGGCCAATTACTTGCTGTCTTTTTTTGGTGGAGCTACATGCATCAATTAATGAACACACTAGTATTATATCATTATTACTGACCCTACGTATTATACAAATTATAAATATTTAAAATATCTAAAATTATGTCACATCATTTATTAGTATACTCGTTAGTATATTAATTAGTACATATAGTATTATTTGTCTTTTTTAGTCTTTTTTTACAACCAAAATAAAAATATAGAGGAATTTGAAGACAAATCATTACGATTAATTCATATCCATTGACTTGTCTGTTTGTGTAAGGTTGGCAGATTAATTCATAACTACTCCTTTGATTTCGACTGTACTGCTCTACCTCGCATTTGCATGTGGTTAAAAAATGGTTAAATTAATTTAAAAGTGATTAAATTAAAAAATTAAAAGTGGTTAATTTAAAAGTCAAAAGTTACTTAAAAAATAAAAAATATATATATATACATATTTAAACATCAATTTTTTTCACCTTAACTGGACCAATATCAATGGATTTCTCAATTGATGTTGATATATCCTTTAATTTTCTTTTGAATAAACCTAAGCTAATTGTCAAGCTATTTTGACTATGATTTTGTTGGAATCATGAGTCAAGTCACTGTTGATGACAATGATATGTATAGCCCATGTTGTTGTGTTTAGAATATAAATTTGAAAATAAAATATATAATAAGGTAAAATTTTCTTTTTTTCCTTCTATTTTTCCCCTTTTTTATCTTTTCTTTTTTCCCCCCTATTCTATACTCCTACCCGAATTCACTATCCAAACACAGAGAGTACTTGAACTAGTTTGAAATTATGATAGCAAAGCAACAAGGCTTCTATATATATAATTTTAAGATTCAAAATACAATTTATATCTGGCCATGGCCTACTCTTAAGATAGTGGGGGAATATGACGCGACACTTGGGCTTGCTTTGGCGAAGGTGCTTGCTTGGGCACTTAAAGCTTGCGTGGGACATGAAGAGCGACACGTTTGACAGGGTTGTACATGACATGTTGAGGAGAGGAAAGCAATCATACATTATTTGTTTTATCATCCCCAGTTATGCTGCTACTGCTAATTTGCTATACCAATCCCCCCACTCAACCACCATTCATAACCCACCCCTGTTTTGAGAAATTAGATAAAAATTATTTTTTTAATTTTTTTAAATCATATCACCTATGAGACATTGTTTATTACCTTCATATACATATATAGAGTTGGGATCCTCTCTGATGATACTGAGTGCTCCAGATGGAACGGGTTGGATTGATCTACGCTTCTCAAACTGTTGCCCAAGCGTTGAGCTCGTAGAGAGACCTGCACAAGAGTTCAACGGGGAACGGGGAGTCCCCCAGTGAATCCTCCAACGATCAAGTTAGAAAAGGGAGAGGATGATGGAATGTAGAGATAGAATGGTGATAGAGAACTTAACCTTTTTTTCGTTTCAGAGACCTGCTTATATTCTTTGCTCATCATTTTCTTCTCCACTCCGAGCCATCATGTTGGCCGAAAGTCTATGCTCTAGCTTGTCTTGTTCATGGTGAGGCCGTTCTGTTCCAACGTGAAGGGTTATCGTAATAATGGCTGATGTGTGGTGCAATAACTTTACAGGATCTTTGTCTGCTGATGTGGCTGGTTCTGCACTTGCCAGGTGTTTAGATGTCATTGGCACTTAGTGTAGCGTTGGGTTCCAAGAATGTTGAGCTTTAGTATTTGAGTCATGAATTGAGCCTTAAGTAGTGGGCCATATCCTTAATAGGCTTACCCATGTCAGCAGTCCCCCATTCCCAAGTACAGCTTCAGTCCAACGAAGGGAATAAGGAAGAAAACGAGGGCTGTGAGGGTGGCCGAGTGAAGAGACTGACCATGAGGAGGGCCGACCGTGAGGGGTGGTCAGGTGGAGGGACTAACTGTGAGGAGGGCCGATCGCGAAGGGTGGCCGAGTAGTGGGGTCGACCTTGGGGAGGGTTGACCGCGAAGGGTGGCTGAGTGGAGGGGCCGACCATGAGGAGGGTCGACCGCAAGGGGTGGCCGAGTGGAGGGACCGATCGTGGGGAGGGCCGACCGTGAAGGGTGGTCGAGTGGAGGGACCGACTATGAGGAGGGCCGACCATGAGGGGTGGCCGAGTGGAGGGACCGACCATAGGGAGGGCCGACCATGAAGGGTGGCCGAGTGGAGGGACTGACCATGGGGAAGGCCGACTGCGAAGGGTGGCCGAGTGGAGGGGCCGACCATGAGGAGGGCCAACCGCGAGAGGTGGCCGAGTGGAGGGATCGACCAATGAGAGGGCCGACTGCGAAGGGTGGTCGAGTGGAGGAGCCGACCATAAGGAGGGCCGACCGCGGGGGGTGGTCGGATGGAGGGACCGACTGTAAAGAGGGCTGACCGCGAAGGGTGGCCAAGTGAGAGGGGGAAGTGGCGGGGCACGTGGTGAAGTGAAATGGAATGGACAGGGAAGGGGAAGGGAGTAGTGGATCGTGGGCGCACACGTGGCGTAATCCTTTAATGGGGAGGTGACGCGTTGGTAAGAAGTGAAGGGACAGGGTAATATAGGGCAGTGAAAAGGCAAGGGCAGGAGTTTTTCAAAAATTTTCAAACTGGCAAAATTGGATCTTGACCCTTAGAATATAGGCAAACCGTGGGCATTTGGAGTTATTCGTTTTACCTATCTTATTGCCAAAAACCAACACATTCCTAAGGTGAACTCCTTTGTCTCATGTGACACACCTCTGCAACACTTTACGAACTTTCTTGTGCCAACGTCCGAAGCGATACGTAGATACGTAGGAGAAATGGCCCGAGGAGAAGTGCCAGACGCCAGGCTTAACTCGTTGGGTGATGACGACGCGGTGGAATTGGCGGAATAGTACCGGGTGGAGCGAAAGGAGGGGCGGGGAGCTGGTCAAGCGGTGCGGGCTTACCTAATGATGATGATTGCGGCCGCGAGGCCCATTAGCCAAGTGGAGCCGGACCATTGGCACACCAAGCCAAACAAATCCACGTTTACAGCGGAGGAGTTGGAGGGGGTACGGAGGAAGTACCAGATTCCCGCAGAAATAGGGTTGAGGCTGCCCACGTCCAAAGAGAGGGCGTCGGATGTACGGTCGGACGAGTTTAGCCTATACGAGGTGGCGCTGTGGAGGGGGTTTGAGGCTACCCCTCCCCCAAATTGTGGTGGACGTGTTTAACAGATTAGAAGTGGCACCCGGGCAGCTAATGCCGAATGCCTGGAAGATAGTCATGGCCTGTGTGAGCGCTTGGGCGCAGGCGACCGGAGGAGCGGCCATGACGGTAGAGGAGTTCTTCTCATGCTACAAGGCCTCTGGTCAACAAGAGACGTGGGTAACCTTGCAAGTTGTAGCGAGCCGGGGTCTAGTGGCGGGCTTATCGTCTTCGGTAAAGAGGTGGAGACCGAGATGGTTCTTCGTATTAGCGAATAGTGGAAGGGGAGTTTGCACAACATGGAAGGTCCCCACAAAATCAGTTGAGCCAAAGTTGGATGTGGCGGCTGAAGACCAGGTGAAGAAGGTGAGGGAGTAGAGGGAGGAGAAGGGGTTGAGGTGGGACGAGTTGGTCCTTCCTTCGACGTTGTTTGCCCTGAACTTGGGACCGCAGCCGTCAGAAGAGGATCCGACGAGGGAGGAATTGGAGGTACATAGGAAGGCGGAGGAGGAGAAGGAGAGGAGATTGTTCACCAGACTGAACAAATACAAAGAAGCACAATTGGGGCCTGCCCCAAAGTTGGTGATGAGGGAGCGGGTCTGACCGCGTCCCAAGCCACTGGGCGACAAAGGCTTAGCTGGCTTTGCCCCACTACCACCCCCAGTAGACTCGTTGAAGGAAAGGGGTAAGCAGGAGGTAGAGACGGTTGTGAAGAAGCCAAGAAAGAAGATAGGGGGCGTAGAGGGGGGAAAAGAGGCCCCTGCCTTGAAAAAGGTGAAGGTTGGGGGCGAGCGTGCCTCTTCGGTTGGAGAGATGAAGGAGGAAAGGGTAGAGGCGGCGCCAGAGGAGGCGAAGGGGACCGCCCAAGTGGCAAAGGAAGATGAGGGTCCGAGTGCCCAAGTACCGAAAGAACACTTGGGCCCAACTGCCACTATGGCGACGACGGTGGTATCTGCACCAGAAGGAACCCCCAGCCTTAGTAAAGGGAAGGCTAGGATTGACAAGCAAAAGATGAGGAGGCCAGGGTTGCAGCCGATCGCCTGGCAGAAGGGGAGGAGGCCAGGGTTGCAGCCGATCGCCTGGTTAGAGCTGTGGAAGATGCGGTTGTACGGTCACTAGCGCGATTGACAGAGGCCGACCTCTTGAAGGGGTTCTGCTTAGCCCAGATGAAGGCAGCGACCCTGGCGACTGCCCTGATGAACAAAGCAGTGCTCTCGAAGATGGAGATAGAGCCGCTGAGGGCCCAGCTGGAGAGGCAAAGGTACAGCTACACAATCTGAGGGTGGAGACGGCGGGGTAAAGAAAGGCCGCTCTGAGTGCGTGCGCTAGGGGCTAGAACACGCGCAAAGGGCTAAGAGCATGGAGATGCTGGTGCTGGTGCAGAGCTACTCAGTGGACCGAGCTAATGCCGAGCTCTTCGCAACCAAGTCAGAGCTGGAGACGGAGCGCCGCAAGGCGATATCGCCAGAGTTCGAGTTAGCGGGCAAGAAGAGGAAACTAGAGGAGGTCCAGAGAATCTGCACCACTGCCAACGAAAGATGGAAGGAGGCCATGACCAGTAACGAAAATCTGGTTAAGGACAAGGAAGAGGCCGATAGTAGGATTGCAGCATTGGAGAAGGAACTGGCGAGGGAAAGGGCAAAGTTGGCATCTGAGAGGGCGGCGTACCCCGACCTGTGTATGGCGGCGGTGGAGCAACTCAAGGAGTCTGCCAATTTCCAGATGGCCATAGATGCTGTGATCGCGACCAGCTTGGCGAATGAGGGTAATGGGGGGGCTGGGCCGTCGAGAGCGGCCGCTGGAGGTACAAGCGAAGAGAAAGTTATCTAGAGTTTCCAGCGGTCGGATTTTTATAAGCATGAAATGGCTGAGTTCTGGGACAGCGGTTAGAAGACCTTCAAACATAAAGCGAAAGAGCTGTTCCCAGACGTGGACTTTAGCCGCGTGAGGATAAGTGAAGACGACATTGCCCAGACGTCCCTAGACGAGGAGGTTGAGAAGGAAGGTCTGGTCTCTACTGAGGAAGAGTGATTTTTGTAAAAATTTTGTGTTTGTGTGTTTTGTTTATTTGTTGTTATGTGTAATTTCTGCGATGAATCGTATGTAACTGTAAATTTGTAAATAAAACAATGAGTTTTCCCTTACACTGTTGTCGTTATTTCTTTTGAGTTGAAAATTTGAAAATAGTGAAAATGACAGAGCAGAATTTAATGAAGAATGATTGTAAAAGTAAGACTTGTGCATGAATTGTGAAACCTACTAGTAGATTCCAAAAAGTTTAGAAATGGGCAGCCAGACTAACTCGCGAGAAAACCATGATGCAAAAAACGTTAAAAACAGATATGCACGAAAATGTGAAAAATGTTAAAAATTAAAGATGGGCGTGGACAACTATGGACCTGGATTCTGACTAAATTAAAAATGTAAAATTAGGAATGTAAAAATTGTTAAAAAATGTTGTAGTATGGACCAGGATTTTAACTAAGTCTTCATTCGAGTTCCGACTAAGACTGGGAAGGCTCTATCATTTTGGAATTTCAATTGATGCAGTTCGGCCGAGCTCTTCGTGCTCAGTTTGGCTGAGGCTTAATTAATTCAGTTTAACAAATCGTTATGGAAACGCAACGCAGATAATAGAGATACAAAGTCATTGTCATTTAAGGCGTAACCTATTGATCAGAAATTTACACCATGTATGGAAAGGACAAAAATAACCAAGTGTGTAGATTGTCATACAGCAATTGATCAATACAAAAATAGGACATGGTACTTTACTGGAAATAACGCTACAAGTGTTCGGCGTTCCACGGGTGGGGGAGGTCTCGGCCTTCCATATCCTGGAGTCGGTAAGTGCCCGGGCGAGGCCTTGCCTTAATAACGTAAGGTCCTTCCCACTTGGCTGCCAACTTGCCCTCGGTAGGGTTTTTGGTGGTGAGAGTTGCCTCGCGCAAAACTAGGTCCCCAATAGAGAACTCCCTCCGTCGGACTTTGCGGTTGTAGTGTGCTCTCATTTTCTGTTGATACAAGGCCCGTTTGACAGCAGTGGTCTCTCGAAGCTCTTCAATCAGGTCTAAGTTAACCTGACATAATTCTTCGGTGAGTTCAGGATTCGGGTGCAAAACCCTCGGGGTTGGCAGGCCGATTTCCACTGGAATGACCGCCTCAACGCCGTATGTCAAGCGAAATAGGGTCTCCCCAGTGGGGGTTCGGGCGGTAGTGCGGTAGGCCCAGAGTACATTTGGCAATTCCTCAGCCCAAAGTCCCTTAACGGCTTCTAACTTAGTTTTGATGATTTTCAAGAGAGAATGGTTGGTAACCTCGACTTGCCCATTGGCTTGGGGATGGCCTGGGGAAGAGAAACATGGCTAAATGTGGAGCTCTGCACAAAATTTCCTGAACTTGGCATTGTTGAATTATTTGCCGTTTTCTGAGACGATGGCTTGGGGATTCCGAATCGGCATACAATCGATTGCCAGATAAATCTGGTTGTGTTTCGTTCGATGATTGTAGCGAGGGGTTCCGCCTTCACCCATTTGGTGAAGTAATCAATGGCGACCACAGCGAACTTGGTTTGGCCCCTACCAGTGGGCAATGGACCAACTAAGTCAATGCCCTACTTAGCAAACGGGTAGGGACTACTGAGTGTAATCAGTTCTGTCGGCAGGGCATGGGGGATGTTGGCAAAGCGTTGGCATTTATCACACTTAAGCACAAACTCAGTGGCATCTTGGTTGAGAATAGGCCAGAAATAGCCGGTGCGGAGTATTTTATGGGCCAGCGACCTGGCACTCGAATGATTACCACATACACCCTCGTGAACTTCCCTCATGACATAGGTCGCATGGGAAGGACTAAGGCACCTGAGGTATGGACGTGTAAACCTGTGTTTGTACAGGAGGCCGCTAATGAGGATGTAATTGGACGACCGGGCTTTGACTTTGGCGGCCTGCTGTTTGCCATTTGGTAACTCTCCACTTGTCAAAAATAGAAGGATGTCCGCTGCTGTAGACACCCCATTTTTGACCGACCTTAAGACTTGGGCGCTACTGATGGCTTCCTTGGTGATGAAAGTTGTGCGGACTATGCTATGCAAAGGGTCAGTTTCTTTGGCAAGGAGAGCGTCAAATCCAAACCTCACACCCCATTGTTGGACCAAAAATATTTTTAGATCTTAAAACCCTCTCTTTTAAAATATTTAAAAAAAAGGTTTTTGCGATGTTCGGAGGCTCACATTTCGTTAAATGTTAGGCTTTTCAGTAAACTGAGCAAGGACAAAGTGGAAATGAATGAAAGAGAGATGAAATCTTTGAAAAATCTATCAAAACACCTTGTTCGGGGGTTTGGAGTTAAAGAAAAAAAGAGTGGAGAGAAGAAACCCAGTTGAGGAAGAAGTTGGGCATGAATCGTTAAGAGAAAATCGATCGATCCTCGCTAAATCGGGTCTGTCATTTTGTATACTTGGATTTAAGCTATGAGGCCACCACCGTTGGAAAGAAGACTTCTGGGGCTTCATTTTTCACTCAAGAATCTCCTAAAGACGAGTCCGGATAGAGAAGATATGATTGGTTGAAGTTGGGCATTATTCCGGATGGACCGAAACTGAGCAGTCTTCACTAAAAGAGGCATAACTTTTTTCACAGTTATAATTTTGATACAAGACTTCCACCATTGGAAATATTACTTCCGGGGCTTCAATTTGGACACAAGAATGACCTGAAAAGGAGTTAATATGAATGCGTTATGCCCGTTTGAAATTGGACTTGCAGAGCAGAATTTCTTATCGGCTACAAATGTGCCGATCGGCCAAAAAAGTAGCAGATTGGCCATCACAAGTAGCAGATTGGCACCAAAGATGGCCAATCGGCCAAGAGTGACCCAAACTCAGTTTTTTTTGAATATATTTTGTCCTCTAGCTATTTCCAGTTTGTGCCACCTGTCCCAAATCAGATATTTTCGACCAAAAACTTTTAAATTGCTATATATGAAGCCAAATATCTCATATTCAAGACTTAGAACTTCTTAAGCAAGTTTTGAGAGCTTCTCTCACTAAAACTCCCTCTCTCTCTACAATTTTCAGAGCTTGATCTCTGCCTCTCTCTCTAAAGCTTCTCCCTCTTGCCTTTTGTGCATGCAAGTAGAGAAATACCTCTCTTTTGCCTAGACATCCTTGATGAAGTGGTCCATCTATGGGTTAAGGTTGCTTGAAGCTTACTTGGAGCCTTGTTTGAGCTCTAAAAAAAGGATTAAAGCTTGGTTTAGTGCCCTTGGAGCCTTGTTTGAGCTCTAAAAAAAGGATTAAAGCTTGGTTTAGTGCCTCTTTTGTGCCTAGTGTGTGCTTTGCTTCAAAGGTATACAACTTACCCCATTTAAGCTTGTCTTGCACGATTGTTTTTCCCTCTTTCTACACTGTTTTTGGGGTGGTTTTGAACTGAGAAAATATCTGTTTTTCAGTCCTAAAAATGATGGTTTAAGCCTTGTTTGGCTAGGGGGTTGTCTCTCCCTTTTGTTCCTTAGCTTGTATAGCTTTTGAGCCATCTTCCAAGACCTTTCAAAACAACTTTTTGTGCCTTTTTAACCACTAAAATCCAATGGATTTTCAGTGGTAAAAACCCTATTTTTAGGGCCCAAATAGGAGAGGGTGATCCCCTCTCCTCTTGTCTTGTGTGCTAGTGTTGATGGCCATCCAAATGAGCATGTATTTTTACTTCTTTATGGCTTTGTTTAGGGTCATTTTTGTGACTTATCAGACCTTCCATAATTCTATTTTTGGCTATCTTGGTCACCTCTTGCATGCTTATTGCACTTGTAGTGTAAATCCTCTTTGCTAGCCTTGTTAGTCTTACAAAATAGCATGCTTTTGTGGTTTGAATTAGCTTAGTTCAAGCATGTTTTTGGTGTTATTTTGACATGTTATAACTCTGATTTTGATTGGTGGACTCACTCCTTGCATGGTTTATGCACTTGTAGTGTATTTCTCACAAATTAGTCTTGTATGCTTCATGAAGTAGCATGCCTTTCTAGCATGATTTGATTCTGTTTCAGCATATTTTTGGTGATGTTTTGCCATGTCATACCTCTATTAAGGTTTGGTTTGGTTGGCCCTTTCATGCTCCATGAACTTGTAGTGCAATTCCATGAATTAGCCTAATGTGTATCATGCTTTAACATGTCATTCTAGCATGATTTTGGCTTAACTCTAAGAAGATTTTGGTAATGTTTTAGCATGCTTAAGCTCTGATTTTTGTTGTTTTGGTCATGCATGCCATGATTTATATAGCTATGGTTCATTCTAGCTTGTTAGCTTTGTGCATCAAGTCCACTAGTATGCATTGCTTGATATTTGAATGATTTGGCATCATTTTTTTATGTGATTTCATAGCATGTTTCATTTCCATGCACTCATATCTTTCACTCTTTCAATGCGTTGAAGGGTTGGTCCTTTATGCCTTGAACATGAGCCTTTGCGTATGCCTTCATACCTAAGCTTGCGAGCTATCATTTCAATGTGCATTTGCGGTTATTTTTCCATGATATAACTCTGATTTTTGTTGGCGAAGCCATCTCATGCTTGGTCTTGATAGGTGTAGTGTAATCCACCTTATTTGCCTTGCATACATCATGCCTTATGCCCTTCATGCTAGCATATTTTGGCTTCCTTCCATACATGTTTTAGACTCCTTTTAACATGTTCTAGGACTTTTTTGGGTTGCCCTTGCCATATGCTTCATGTTTTGCATAGTTGTAGTGCAAGTGCCTTGCTAGCCTTAAGCTTTGGGCACCATAGCATGCTTCATTTGTATAATG